AAACCTTTTTTCTTTGCCAAGAGTTCATTACATTATCAAAAAAAAAATGATTTTCATTACTGAATGTCATTTCTTTGATAAGAGGAGCATTTAGCAGAATTTTTAATCAGGGGAACAATTAGTGGATAATTCATTTTGGTGTTATCTAAATTTAATTGTCACTTTTTTTTCTTTTTTTTAATTTAACTTTTTATTATTTTTAATTACCTGCTAATTAAATTTTTAAGTTTAATTAAATGGCAATTTTGCTAATGAACAAAAAAATATAAATTAGTAGCGCTTCTTTTATAGTTTTTTTGTTTGTTTGTTTAAATTGCTCACAAAAATTATTTATTTGAACAAATTTTTAATCATCCAAACTTTATTGTGCAATTGTATGTCTGTTTATGACAACTAATTCACAGTCTTTTTTTTCAACATCTTTTCTACCAACAAGGCTGCAAGCAACCACTGTTAAAGTTGGAAGTTACTGGAGGAGAAAATATGAAGTTTATAGAGCAAGATAACAATTGACAGACGGCTTACAAGATTGCAAGTTATATGAATTAGGAAAGCAAGATGAAAGAAGCAAATTCCAAAGAACTGATGTTCTACAAAAAAAATTTTATTTTAGACTGTTTCCAGAATCAATAGTAAATAAAATGTTAGTTTTGCTGAAAATTTGCAATAACAACAAATAACTTATATGTGTTTTACTGGATTTGTATTTTTGTATTAGCTCAAAAAGATCTTTATCATTACATCCATCTGTCCACAAGCCACCAAACAAACCGCAATTAGATTTTCCTATAACTTATACTTGGTTATGATTTTTTTCAAATATTTCAGGATAATATGCACCTTCATTTTCTAATGGAAGGTGTTTGTTATGAGATTACAGACCTTGTTATGAGATTTTATTGCATAATAAAAATGTGTAACACTAATACATTTCCTTCAATTTTCTTATGTTATGAGATTACAAGCCTTGTTATGAGATTTTATTGTGTAATGCTAATAAATGTAACTTTAGCACACTAATATTTACATCATTAAAAGTTAAATCACATAATTAGCGTATTTTAAAGTACAATATTGTAGTTAAATTTAGTTTTAAACTAATATAACAAAAATTACTGATAAATTCTGTATTTAAAAAAAAATTGTATTTCCTTATAATTTATTTCATAAAACAATCTTATACTTAATATTTTTTTTTTTGTTTGTTTATCACAACTTATTTGTTTATTTTATTTTTTACATAGTTAATGTAATATTTCAAATAAAGATTACAAATAATTTATAGGTATATTTTATCAGTTACCAATAAAGTATTTTTAAACGTTATTTATGTTCTTAAGTAAATTACAAAAGAACATGATATTGAATTATCAACATATAAAAAATTTTAAATACACGATGGAGAGACTTATGTTTTAAGTAATGAATTAGTTAACAATAAATATTGACGATATTGAATAAATATTAAAGTAAATATTGAAAATATTGAAAAGCTGTAAATATTGAAATAAATATTGAAAATATTGAAAAAATAAATATAGAAAATATTGAAAAACTGTTTTACATTCCTTTGAAACTAAATTTTACATTCTAGATTTTGTTGAGTTTTTATGACACCATCTTTATATAGACACCGTATTTATGTGCCGTACATTCTTAATAGTTTTCAGCTTCAGCCACGAGGCTATGTTTTATGTATACTTTTTGATAGAGGTGGGGAAGCCTTTAAAATCCTAAAAGATCATTACACTGGTACAAGTAAAGCTCATTATTATTACCTTATATAATCAATTAACAAGTTTAAAAAAAATTACCAACGAGTCTATAATAGATTATGTTATTAGAGCCAAGAAATCAGCCACTTCATTAAATACAGCTGGCGAAAATTTAAGCGATTCATTAGTTATTACTATGGTACCTAAAGGATTACCTGACGAGTATAGAGCTTTTGTAGCTATAATTACCCAATCTGAAACTAGTAATAATTTCCAAAGTTTTGAAGAAACAGAATGCACAACAACAACTCATAATGAACATTCAGATACCAAAATAATGAAATTCAAAACTAGTGGGGGTAATATAAAGAAAGTTTTGACTTGTTATACTTGTGGAACTATTGGTCACAAGTCTTCTGAATGTCAAGCAAACACCAAACCAAAGATATTGTGTAATAATTGTAGATCGAATACCCACAAAGACAGTTCTTACAGGAAACAAATAAAGGATAAAGCTAAAGCTGTTAGTAGTATCCAAAAACAAACGTATAAATTTAAAATAAACGAAGAACAATATAAGGAAACGCAAAACAAAACATTTCTGGTAGACCACCCATATTCTAAATACTGATGAACATATCACTAATATAGAAGAATACTTTAAACCTGATGAACATTTTATAGAATTAGCTAATGGCACCAGGACAAACAATATAGCTAAAAAGAGAGGAACAGTTGCAACCCATTTACGTACAAAGAACAATGAACATGTAACAATCACTCTTGAAAACAATTTATACATACCATCTTACTCACAGTGCATTTTTTCAGTTCAAGCAGCTGCAGCTAAAGGTGACAGTGTAAACTTTCATAACTATAGTGCTAAACTTATATCTAAAGAGGGAACTGTGTTTCCTATCCAACAATATGGTCGTTTGTATTATTTGTATAAAAATTTGATAAATGAAACACGAACTGAA